TAGGATTTAACTAGTTAATAATTTATATAACCAGATTTATCACATTAACGAACTTGCCAAATTTTGTGAAATTAAAATGGTCCAATTATTTTTACGGATATATTTACTAAATCTTTTTAGAAATTTTTTGAAAACAAATTTGAATTATCCCGCCTTTTACTTTATTTGAAATTCAAAATTATATTTTTAAATATATTAATACATATTTATTATTTATTTTTTCTTTATGCGATATAATCTAAATTTGGTTATTATATTTTCAAATATGCGCTCTATCTCTTCCATTCTATTTTGGTGATTCTAATTTGTATGAAAATTACTCCCACAGTTTTGACCTTGGTTTCTGTTCATCGGGTTCCATGTACTGCTAATATTAAAAAAAAATAGTGGATAAGAAAAAATGTGTTCCAAAAGAAGAATTTAAAAATTTAGCATAATAAGTTTCTGATTTTTTTTTTTCTTTATTTTTGATCGAATCATTGACAATGATTTTTATATGAGAATTACCTGTTATTGGATTGATGCTACTTTTAATTTTTAAAATATTCAACTGCTTAAGTTTAATGATGCGCATTCAGGTCAAAAATATAAATTTTGTTATGATTATAATATTGGCAGAAAAAAAACAATTATTTATATTAGTAATGCTACCTCTAATACTTCTTTTTGTTTGATTGTATTCCTCTTATCGTCCACACAATGGCATAAGATTATTTCATTTACGATTTATTTGTCATATTTTTAGTGAATTGCTAAACGCCGTCCTCTTTTTATCACCTACCACCCTCTTCAAATTGTTTTGCCTCTGACATTTCTTTTTTTTATTAAAAAAAAAAAAAACACGGCCGGCCGGTAGTACCGGCCGCACCACGGTCGGTCGACCAACGATTGCGGCCGCGTTAGGTGGCGGTCGGCCGATTCGGCCGGCCTAGTCGGTCGACCACCACCTTGTGCGGCCGGTATTGCCGGCCGGCCGACCACAGAACAACCGGTATTATTGACCGGCCATGTTTATTTTGTTTGTCTTTATCAAATTTTTGTTTAAATTATGTTATAATTTAGAAATTATTATGTTATAAATTAGAATTTATTATCTTATAATTTTCTTATTATTATGTTAGAACTTAGAAATTGTTGTGGATAATAAATTAAAATTGATTATCTAATAGAATTTATTATTATTATTATGTTAGAACTTAGAAATTGTTATGGATAATAAATTAGAATTGATTATCTTATAGAATTTTTTATTATTATGTTAGAACTTAGAAATTATTATGGATAATAAATTTTAATTTATGTTATCTTGTAGATAATAAATCCCAATTATAACATAATAATTTATAAGTTCTAACATAATAATAATAAATTCGACAAGATAATCAATTCTAATTTATAACATAATAATAATAAATTTAATTAGATAATCAATTTTAATTTATAACATAATATTTTTTAAATTCTAACATAATTTATTTTGTATTAGAAATTTAGAACTGGCCCACAAGTACTAACAAATGTGGTCGTACCTATTAAGAAGATGGTTATATTCTTGCACCGACAATCCAAAGGGATGAAAAAATGTGGATAAAAACATTTTCATAAGACATCATCAAAGTCAACTTAAAAAATGTTTTAAAAACATTTCGAGTCTAAACTAATTTGAGTCTATTTTTTGTTGAAAATACTGGTGATGAGATTCATGCGAAAGCCTTATGAAACTTTTAAATAGAATAAATAAATACATTTTAACTGTTTTAGATCATGTCTATAAACAATTATATAAATTGTTTTGAATTTTAAGTTGCATATGACATTCTTATATGCATGATTTATCATTTAAAATATCATATGATACATAAAAATATTAACAAACAAATATTGATTCAGCAACTAATCCAACCAGTAAAACTATTATGGCATGATTGGTATAATAGAATAGAATTTCGTAGGAATGGAATGAATGGAAGAATGGAATGAAACAAGTTTTGTTATTGATGCGTTTGATATGCAAAAGGAATAGGATTTGAATGGAATGACATTATCATTTCTTATTATAAAAATAAATAAAAGCTTTTTTTAAAAATAATATACTTTTAATAAATTATATATAAATGCTTTTTTAATAATATATTAAAATAAAATAATATATTTTTAATAATATAAAAATTAATATATTCTTAAAAAAGTGTATATTTTTAATATATAAAAAATAATATATTTTTAATAATATATTAAAATAAAAAGTAATATAATTTTTAATAATACATATTTTATTTTTTAATTTAAAAAATAAATAAAATTAAGTTTTCAATTTTTTATTTGAATTTTATTTTTTAAAATAATATATTTTTAATAATATTTAAAAATAAAAAGTTATATACTTTTAATAATATACATTTTAAATATTTTTTAATATATTTTTAAAAGCATTATATTTTTAATATATAAAAAATAATATATTTTTAATAATATATAAAAATAAAATAATATATTTTTAAATTTTATATAAATGCTTTTTTTGTTTTATTTTTATATAAGTATTTAATATATCTTATTAAAAAATAAATAACAGTAAGATTTTTTAATTTTTTATTTGAATTTTATTTAATATACTTTAATCAAGATTTATAATATATATTATAGTTTTATTATTATTAGATAATTTTATGTTTTGAAAATTGATTCCTACACACATGGGAATGAGAAAACCTTACATTTCTATGGAATGGTTAATCCCATGGAGATGGGTTTTGCCATTCCCATTGGAATGGTCATTCCTTTTTAAAAATTATACCAATTATGTGATAAGGAATGAGTAATGGAAAGATTATTTCATTCCCATGTCATTCCTTCCTACCAATCATGCCATTAAACTTTTTGGTTTATCAGATTCAACAACTAATCCAACCAATAAACCATTACTTTTTGGTTTAACAGTTTGTAGACCCAAAAAGCAAGTTCTGATAAGTGAGTCTATCCCTCTCTACCTTATTTCTAATATAAGCATGTTCTAATAAGCGAGTCGATCCCTCTCTACCCTTTGATATGGATTCAATTCAAAAAAACCAATCATTTTTAACTCAATCAATTTTTTTAACTCAATTTTAACCAACTCCATTACATTCAATATTATCAATATAATTAAATAATATCAATAAATCATACTTACACATCGCATCAACTTTAATTCATTCATCCACTCACATAAATTTAACTAACCATCATTTCACATTATCCTTCTCTTACTTTTACATCAAATTAACTTTAATTATTTTATTTAAATATTATTTTAATATAAACTCAAAATCTCAGTAACGAATCATATTTTTTTTTAAAATTAACTATGATTAACAGACTAAAACAAAAAAATCAAGATCAAATCAAATTCATATTCAATCACACCCTAAGTCAGATTCCTCCTCCAATTAAGGAAAAACAGCGAGAAGGTGTTCGAATAGATCAATGGTTGGCCCGACCAAAGCTTATAGATCGGTTGGTGCTGAATCTAGGCTAGGGCATCGTACTTATAACTTACCTTTTAACAAAAAGCTAGAAAATTCAAGGATCCTTTTTTAGGTATTTACTTTGATTGGTTATTTACCATAACATTTAAAACTACAATCACACAAATCATAAAATTTGAAACTACAACCAAATTGGATTAAATATGTCCTTCTAAAAAATAATTATTTTGAGTGTCTTGTTAAATTTGAGATTACTACAAAAAAAATCCCCTTTATTTATATACTCCCAAATCAGATCTAAAATGAGTATCTAAACTAAAACCGAGATGCGAGTATCTTAGATGACATGAATAAAACTATGTAAAATTAACAAAATCCACTTCAATGCAAAGAAACTAGGGGCATGTTTGTTTATGGAAATTTTTCAAAAAAATTTCACATTTTAACTCAACCACTTTTTTTAACTCAACTTTAACTCAACCCCACTATTATCAATATTATTAATATAATTAAATAATATCAATCAATCATTAATACACACCACATCAACATTAATTCACTATTCATCCACTCATATTATTTTAACTAACCATCACTTCAATCATCTCTCTCCTACTTTTACATCAAATTAATTTTAATTATTTTATTTTAAATATTATTTTAATATATCCGCTAACAACTAACCATACAACTTTTTTCAAAAATTAACCAACCAAAACCAAAAATCCAAACAAACTAAAATTTCCATAAACAAACATGCTCTAGGTCTCTACTTGGGTCTAAAATAGACTTCAGAGGAGATAGGGGTCTCTTTTTCTACCTGCCACATCAGCAGAACCCAATCTACTTTTATTTGCATTAGAGAATATATTTTTTTAGACTGAGTCTATTTCTTAGGTGACATATAATTTTGAGTAATGCTATAGGTACATAATAATGTACATAGAGGTGTACATAACACTCACATTGAGTGAGTCCTACCAATAATAAAAAATTAAATAGACCCCACTCCATGTGAGTTATGTGCACCTCTATGTACATTTATTATGTACTTGTAGTATTTCTCTATAATTTTATGAGATTAACTCAAAGCATTGTAGATGCTCTTAAACATTTTTTAATACTCAGCTGTGTCATACTGAGTAACATTAATTTTAAATTGTCCATTATCATTATGTACGTTATGAATTAAAATTACCATTAAACAAGTTATGTACAATAATACACGAGTGTCATTTTATATAAAAACAATAGTTTATTTTTCAAATAAGTATTCACAAATTTGGAAATACGAATTATTTTGCTTATATTTTAAATGTAGGACACGTATATTACACAAGTTTCTTCCATGTTTTTGTACTTTGCTCTCCGATAACACATCACTTTACAAATCCTTCTAGAGAGGGTTTACAGTTAAGTAAATACACACACAAACACCAAAAAAGAAAAAAAAAATATGATTAAAGCTAGTTTTATTATTATCATTATTCATTAATGATTTTTTGGTAAAAAATATAAAATTAAAGAAAAAAAAACTACAAAACATTTCCCATTGGTTAATCATCTTGTATAATACTTCCTCGTCATTGATTGATATAATATAGTTTTGAAATCTGATGATACAGAAAATTCTCTTCCGAGTGTATAAATGTATAAATACCTATCATTGAAAACTATATAATATATATCCTGACCTGCATGGCCATTCTGAACAAGACCAATCAACCACATATTTCCACTTCAAAGCCCTGCAGCCAAAAATCGAAAAGGCCGAAAATCTGAAGCCATCACCACATAAACCGTATTCCCTGTCGAGTGCCCGAGCAAAAGAGATGGCAGAGAAAGCAAGGGCAAGGCTTTTGCTATAACAGCAGTGCATTATATAAGTTAGCACACTTTATGTCGAAAGTTCAATTTAGCAATCGAACCACAATACGATAATAATGATAAAAAAGAAAAAATAAAATGAATAAGCACAACCACCTAAATTGCCATTTATTTTTCCAGTGTAACTGTATTTTAATACATCCAAGTGGCCGAACAGTTTAGTTCTTAGGATTTCATTTTCGCGTTGAACAATTCTGAAAACATAAAATGAAAAATGTTTCGGGTTTTATAGCTCGAGATCGAGTAATTATAACAATTTTGGAGCAGGAAGAATAACATAGTTATAATTTATAAGCACTTAAGCGTTACACATAACTAGCTGCTAGCAACTGAAGAAAATACTTCATTAGTTCATTTGAAATGAATCGTTATATATCATTACCTTCAAATCCAACAAGGCAGCAAAAGAGGCACGGCCTTTCATTTTGAATGAGCAACTACATGCCGTTAGCTCCATTCTCAGAGGCTGGACTTCTACTCTTTATCAGCTGTTGCAAGCATGACATAAGCATTAACACTAAGTATGACTTTTGCAAGAACACATAAATAGAGAGTAAAACCTCATGTTATTCTCTGTGTGAGGATGTGCATTGCAATGGAAAGCTAATGATCGAAGTTTATTTCATATAAAATAATACTATTCTAGTTGTATATAATAAGGGTTTGAAGTTATGTCCGTAGCTGAATACAGAAACTTAAGGAGAAATGAGTACTAAATATTAGTGATGGGGATGATTTAATTTTAAATTGACTGAACTGGTTGTAGAGAAAAAGTGGAAATGAGTTGGCGAAAATGATGAAAATCGTGACATGAATCAGTATCAAAATGCAGTAACACACCCTATAACATATTTTTTCTGCTTTATTGTTGCATAACAATGATCATTATAGATCAGTTATTATGATGAACAATAGTCAATCAAAGCAATCACTCCAATATCAGATCATCTATTACTATGTCATTTCATTATTGTGATCTTACAGTTACTTCAAACTACCAAGTCTAATTCTCAAGAGACCGTTATATCTTATGTGATAATGCAAAAGATGACACAAGGATAGAAAGGACATGGGTGATTTAACTGAACCAACCTTGTAGAAATACTTCTTTCGCAGTTTGATGGCAGTGCGTACACATCTCTTGACTCTGATCTTTAATATATTATCATTAAATATCTGCAAAAATACAATTACAGATGAGAGATGAGAGACAAACATATCTTAACAGATGTTCAAACAGCAACAGGATAAACCTATCAGACTGCATCTAACAAAATTCCACAGCAGCAAACGGATGCGCATCATTATAAAACATA